AAACAAGCTATGTGGGAAGCATAACAATATAGACTTTAAATTATACTACACACATAGTCACAAAAATCATAAAACTGCACAAAAACATGATGTTGTCAAATAAACACACATGGACACCAATGGAACAAAAGACTCAGAAATCAAACCACATGACTATAGTCATCTAATTTTTTTTTTTCAAAAGAGTCAAAAAAATACCCGGAAGAAAAGACAGCTTTTTCAGCAAATGGTGCTGGGGAAACAGGCTGTCTACATGTTGGAGACAAACCGAATCTCTCTTTCACCACGTACAAAAATCACCTCCAAATCAGAGAGCTAAACATCAGACTGTAACCTCTGATGTTACTGTAGGAAAACAGAGAGAAACTTATGGAAGATGTAGGCACAGGTAATTTTCTAAGTATACTCCAATTGACAACACACACAAATATGCCACTATTTTTAATGAAACAAAAATGTCAGGCACAAAAGAGAAATATATGCCGGGTGTAATAGTTCTTTTGGAAATTTTATCTATCCAGATGACCCTAAAGAACAACAGCTGGTAGAAGGCCCTGTGTGAGATCTTACACATGTATTTGTCCACTCTGAGCTAGCACCTGTATGTCTTGGGGCTATCCAAAAGAAAGTATTGAGCCTTTACTAACATTTCTTATGTGTGCCGGAGTGGGAACTCTGGGAGGGCCTGGACAAAAGCTCAATGTTGTTTCCAATCCAATTGGCCTTCAGATGTTGTATTTAGATATATCTAGAAACAATGTATTTGTATGATATCTTTAGAAATGATAGCTCCATGCTCTGCTTAGTCATTCTTGTTGTATATAAGCAGAATTTAGGTTTCATACACGTACTGACTAGGGAAATATCCATATTCTAATACGTCATTCTAATACGTAATTGGCTTACATAAACAACTAATTAGACAGATGGGTAAGATATCATAGTCCAGACTTGATCCTGGGTTAATTAGATCATTCTTGTTGTGCCACTGAAAAAAAATGGGTATTTTCTCTTCCTATTCCTGCTGGACACTCAGTTCCATCAAGACAATATAAATCCCCTCTGTGGCTTAACCAAATGCAAGAAGCAGCCTGTGTAGTTTCATATCTTCTCCCATCTGGGCCTCAATGTAATTGGGTAATTGTTCTTTTTTTTTTCTTTCTGGAAATGCTAGCTCTCTGGAGCCATTTTTAAAATGGTTATTGTAGAGTTGATGGACAGAGGGTCACAGTTACATGAATCAGGTCATGAGTAATGAGTACAATTCTTTCTGAACCATGTCTCCCCTTCCCTTACTCTCCCAGTCTTTCCCTCCCCATCTCCACCCACAAGATTTCCAGTTCATTTTCTACATAGTGCCTAGTGAGTATCATTGTTGGGTTTGTTCCTCCTTGTTTCACCTTTTCTGTGCCCTCCCTTCCCCTCCAAATACATACTAACGAACAAGACAAAAGGAAAAGAAAATAAAGCAGCAACAATGGCAACGAAAGAATGTCTCTTGTTTCCTTATCTTGGAGTTCATTTCATAGAATGTTACTTTATGGGATCCTCTGATCCTTTGTCCTCCTACGCATAGCCTTCTTTGGCCTCTGTATGTAAAGTGCAAGGGTCCTACATATTTTTATCATGTCCCAGTGTTACTTATTTCTTTTAGTCATTCAGTGTGTTTACTTGTAGATTTATAAGCATATTCTAGTGGCCACAATGAGGGAAACCACGCAGTCTTATGTTTCTTTGGCTCTGGCTTACCATTTGCAGGAAAGTGGAAAGTTCTTTTTCTTTTGGAGAGAGAAAGACATTTCATGGCACCATGGACAGGGAAGCCGTGCAGACATGTTTGGATGCCAGTCATTGCAGTATTTTATTCCCAGGCTATGTGAGTACCAGGATGCTCGTTATTATGGGTTGTCCAAATTGCATCACATTGTTATATGCAAAAGTTTCAGGTAAGATATGGGGTCAAAAATGTCCCTTTCTTGTGCTTCCTTAGCTTTATTTGTTCAAGAACATTCACATCCTGAGAAGTTATTTCAAAGCAGCATTTTAAAGGAAAGCATAGTGAATGCATTGCAAACAATACTTACTTTACTTTAGGAAAACAATCGTTCAAAAATGGTGATTATCTAAAACTGCGGAAAGGCCCGCCATAGTCATTCAATAGTTCTGTCTTTTGGTATTAAAAGATGGGTAATTTCAGAAATAATAAAAATAAAACTTTCATCTTCACTTAACATTTTTGGTTGTATCAATATTTCAAAATTCCACAAAAGAATACAAAATCAAAATAATACATTTATGAGCACTTAAGCCTGAGAAATATGAAAATAATTATTACATGCTCACAATAATAGGAACTGAAGTCCTGCCTAAATCATTCTTATCCATTACTTGATTCCAGTCTCTCAGGATTACTGTGTGAACTGAAAAAAAAAAAAAAAAAAACCCAATATCCATGAAGCTCAAAACATAGTACCTCCTACTGTATCTTTCTTCACCAGGAAAGAGTCAAATCACCTCTCTCTGGAGTTGTATGACATGGAATTGAGGCCATGGTTGAGGCATCTTTTGAAAAGTACAAGTCAAATAGGAAAAACTAAAAACTGAAGTAAAATGAAGGCTGCTATGGTGCTGTAAATTAGATACTCTTTCTCCAAACGTGAAGTTACTTGGTGACTACTGCCCAATCATCCCTACATCAGACAAGAAAACAGAGGAAAGCATGGAGCATTCTAGATTGAAATATGTAAACCTTGCAAACATAACTATTGCTGCCAGCATCTGAGGAAAAACTTTGCCATCAACTTCAAAATGTTCGACAAGCGTGAGTCTCTAAAGACATGTGCACGCGTGGAAGTGGACAGGTGCTCCTTGCGTGACTTGGGATCCTTTTTTAGTAATAATATGGTAATTATTACAGAAACAAACTGAATTCTAGAAAGAAAAGGAGTTCACACCAAGATCATATACAATCCATAGCTAGAATTAACCCAAGGAGGATAGTCTTGTTTGTTTTTTCCATTTACTCCAAAAAAATATTTTTTTTGAGGGGAGAAGGCAAATCTCTTAGCAAGGTAATTTCTTTCACTATATTTTTTTTCTAAAATGTTTCCTAATTTCTAAGTGAAAAGGTCTTCATTTATTGTTATAGAATACAACTAATACTCAAAGTATATCTCAGTGATCTAATGCCGACAAGCAAGAGACTTGGACACATATTTCTAGGTCCATGGAAGTTTTTGGTCCTTCTTGACACTAAATTAAACTGTACCATTTCTGAAAATAATACTTCTATACTCCTACATTCCATGATTAACCTAAATTTTGCTGTAGTGCAAATCTAATCACAAAGCTAAACATTAAAAAAAAGAGTTGTATACTTTGTCCCTTGGAAGGGACCATTATTTCTTGTATCTCTTTGGTAACCCCCAAATTTAAGTGCTAACTCCTCTCTTGGGATTTTATTTGAAGCGTTTAGAGCATAAAACAGATTTGCTCAATGTTTCTCAATTGGCCAACAAGACACTTTCCTAGGTCAACAAAAGAATATTTTACATGATGTGCTTAGTGGAGAATTATGGTGGTCTGAATTTATTTAACTACAATAATAGAGGAGTAGTTAGTAGTCTGTTTACAGATGTTAACTAACATTTGGAAAGATGTATGTAAATGGAAAGCTCCAATTGCATTGGTCATGCAAAATGGCCACACAGTGAATTACTGAATTATAAATCTCACATTTCCACCAACTTGAATCTTACATAAACATTCCAGGCATCTTCTGAGAAAGTATGGCTTGCAGGAACTTACCTGTTGAATTGGAATGCCTTACAGACACTACATAACACAAAACATGTTTGTTCTAAAAATAGTTAAGTATAATTAGTCTTTCAAATCAATGTTTCCACTCATCAGGTTGACAAACTAACTTGTTAAATAGCACACTTAATTTACATATCCAACAAAAGCTTCATCTACTATTTATTTGATTGCATACTTTCAGGAGAAAGAAAAACAGGCCATTGGCTACCTTCCATTCCCTGAAATGTAAGAGGTAATTACATTCATACGGTTGTCATGTTTTTATAGCAAAGCACAATCTGCTTTCAGAGAAAATAAGCTACCTTATCTATGGATCCTTTATTATAATTATTATGATTCTAATGCTTATGGATAAAAATAATCGTATGAGTCCTTAACTCTTTTATTCTATATGGAAAACAGGAAATATTTCTCTCCTTTTCTGTCACCTCTACTTTAACTCAGTTATATAAAGACAAATCCTTGCCAGGCACTGGTGGCTCACATCTGTAATCCTAGCTACTCACTAGGCTCAGATCTGAGGATCGTGGTTCAAAGCCAGCCTGGGCAGAAAGGTCCATGAGACTCTTATCTCCAATAAACCACTAGAAAACCAGAAGTGGTGCTGTGGCTCAAGTGGTAGAGTGCTCGCCTTGAGCTGAAGAGCTGAGGGACAGCTCCCAGGCCCAGAGTTCAAGCCCCACGACTGACCAAAAAGAAAAAAAAGATAAATCCTTGATAGAACTTAAAAATACTTTAAAAAACAAATAAATTTAAAATGGATCTCACAAATAATACCCTGCAATTAACAAAATGTTTTAAAATGAAAATATTACATATACATATATAAATCCTTTACTTTTTGTCTAGTAACGGACACAGATAAATGCTATTTTTAAACACAATTAATGCAACCAACATCAATTTAAGTAATAGCTTTCAAGTGATATGAAAACAAACTAAAGTTTGCTTATAATAAATGAGATTTTTTTTTGGCATTTAGAAGAATCATAATCGGAATTGTGGACTTAATTCTATTTAACAATTATGTTTAAGATCAATAACTAGACGGGAAATGCATTTACACTGTCATACTGTATTTCAAATACTGTGCTAAGAACAGACAAGTAAGAATAAAAGGGTCACTTTGCTCACAAAGCTTACATTTTAACAAGGCCGGGGGAGATCAAAAGTTCACTTACCTTTCACTCTGGGAGACAAGAGGTTTCCTGATCTAGCTATAGAATGAGCAGGGCTTACCGAGGGCTGCTGAATTTTCCATGAGGATGTTAAATATAAGCTAAAACCTGAAGGGTAAATAAGTTTGAGAAAGATTTTTGTTGTATTCTTGCTCTCCTTGGTTTAAAAATGTGTTACTTGATATTTCCATTAAATTACCATTCAGCTTATTACTAGTATGAATCTAATCACTTGAGCAATTTGAATTCATGTGATTAAATGGCCATAGTATCTGACATTTGATATTCTAAATAAAATGTATATTGCCACAAATTCTCAAATACTATAAGTAGTCAGAGAGACCGGTCAAGATATCAAAATATTTAAGTATATTAAGACTACAGAAGCCTGTGCTAGATCCATAAACATCTAGATAAAATAACACAATAACTAAAATCATTACTATTATGAACATGTATGCACATAGAATATATTTATGTATCATAATATAGATCTTAAGTTCTATATTATAATATTATACCAATTATAAATTTAGAATACAATAGGTGACACAAATATTCCTCCCATTTTATGAGAACAAGGAAATTCAAATCACTTTTCATATATCATATGTAGCAAGGAATTGGCTCAAGTACATAGACTCAAGAAAATGAAGAGCAATTATCCACTTCTATTTAAATGCTAATCTCCACACATGAATTTTCACCATGTGTATGGCTTTGTATTGTTTGATAAGAAATTGGAGAATGAGTGGTAGAGCATTAGTAATTGCTTACAAATATATTACTCTGTACGTTATTCTATTTTTTTAAGGCTAGACCTTGTATTACAAATATTTAGCTTCCTTTTTATCAACAATTAGAAAGTATCTACTACATACACAAAGTAACCTAAAAGCTGATGGGGCTGGGCGCTGGTGGCTCATGCCTGTAATCCTAGCTACTCAGGAGGCTGAGATCTTAGGATCGAGGTTCAAAGCCAGCCCAGGCAGGAAAGTCCATGAAACTCGTATCTCCAATAAAATCACAGAAAACTGGAAGTGCACTGTAGCTCAAGTGGTAGAGTGCTAGCCTTGAACTGAAGAGCTGAGGGACAGTGCCCAGGCCCAGAGTTCAAGCCCCACCACCACCGACAAAAAAAAAAAAAAAGCTGATGGGGTCCACAGAAGCCCACAATTTAGAGAGAGAGTCAGATACAGAATGAAGATATACACAGTTAAGGAGTGAGCAAAAAGTTTTGTATTTACAATCTCGTTTGATCCTGGAAAAAGAAGCCAAAGAGGCATTGGAGTAAGGAAGGCATGACTTCCTTACTCTAGGAGTACATATTTGTGAATCATAGAAAACATCTATGTATTCACAGGTTATAGGAAAATAACTAAATGCAAAACCCTTGAAATAGGTCCAGAATGCATAATTAACTGTAATTTTGAGTTAACAAACAGAATAGTTGAGATATCTAAAATGCACCAAGATAAGGATTCCTAATGTAACTTTTCCCAACTCCTCACTAAAGAAACAACAAAGGAAAAAGAATAAAGATTTATATTAATCTAAGAGTAACAATTAGCTGCCACTAATATTTGAGGCCAGGAGAGAAATTCATTAATATAAAGATGTGTGAATCCCAATGACCAATTATAATAAATATAGTACATCTATAATTATGAATAAGTGTAAGGAATGTAAAACCACACCTATTTGTAGCCTTTGTCAAGGCGAAAGTGAATATGGTCATTTTAAACTTTCCAGAGAGTGCCATTAACTGAAGACAGAAGGGCAAATACTGTGTGTGTCCAGATGCCTCATGGGGAAACAGAAGGAATGAGCACCAGTCCCGCAGGGGAGTTGTAATGCCAGAAATAAGGAAAGTGGACGGTGGGTGGGGCTTTCTTTTGCCTGTTGGTTTTCTTCACTATCTCCTATCAGCACAACAAGCAAGTAAATAAGAGCCTGGAGGCAGGAACCACGGATTCCTGAAGACAGCAATGAAACTCAAACCCAAATCAACTCCTGATTCCAATCAATTCAAATTCATCTCTGTAATGTATTTTTGGCTGACTTAAATACCTGCTATCTATCTTTGATTTCCATCAGTTTAGCTGTGATATGGCACAGTATTTTTCTTTTTCTTTAATTCTCCTTATGATTTGCTCAGTCTTGAATGCACGGACCATCATCTTGATTCAGTTCACCATTAACATCATCTTGATTCAGTTCACCATTAACTTCACATATTTTGAGTCGACTGGAAAGTTTCCCATCAGCAGGTGTGTTTATCAGTTTATTCCCATCCTTCTGACAAAATACTTGAGAAAAATCAGAGTCAACACAGAAAAGGCCTACTTTGTCCCTGGTTTTTGAGGTTCCAGTGCATGGTTGTCAGGCCCACTTTGCTCTGTGCTGCAGCAGACCCTCATGAGGGTGATGGCTGGTGGAGAAAAGATGCCTGTCGCCCGGTGACCCGGAAGCAGATATGGAGTAAAGAGCTGGAACTCTACTACTCCTTCAAGGGAATTCTCCCAATGCAAAACTTCCTTCCCCTGGTTCCCACCTCTCAAAGGTTCTACCCGCTTCCTATAGCACCATCAGTGGAGGACACATGAGCTTTTGGGGGTACAAACCATAATGGCAGGATGTATAAAAACTGGCTATACCAGAAATTGGCCTATGCTTCCAAACTGAGCCTCTTAGATTGTGTGCGTGTGTGTGTGTGCGTGTGTGTGTGTTTAATTGTTGTTGTGTTGCTATTTCCCCAGGATTTTTTTTGCACACACTGAGCTACTTAATTTGAGACCTTTGTTCTCTTCTAAAATAGATGTTAAGCACTCACGTCATGACACCGTTTATACCTATTACATTCTTTTATTTTGCTCTGTGGTGGCCAGTCAGTGGCAAAAACAGTTCTCAACCATTGCTGTTACCCATGCATGAAGCCCGCCTCCCAGAAAATTGGGCAAAATAATTCAAAATCCAAAAAAAATGAAGTCTTTTCTGACCTAGTAATAACACACCAGAATCTTTTCTAAAGAAATTATCATGCAGATGTCCAAAGATATGTGTAAATAGTACTTATGAACTATTATTTGTAAAATTTTAAAATGGGAAGCAACTTCAGTCTGAACATTTTGGTACATCTTTTTATTGGACTATTACACAGACAAGTAGCAGTGGGTTAGATTAATATTCACTGATATTAAGTTTACAATTTTCTGCTAATTCTAAAATGCCAAATACAAAGGAGTATTTGTAATAAACACATCCTCATGTGTCAACAAAAGACAGAAGATGAACATGAAGATCCAAAGCAGTTTTTTTTTCTTAATGATTGTTCATATTTATAGTTACTTTTATAATGAAAATACAGGAGACAAGTACTTAGCACTCTGGAAAAGAGCTTTACGGATCCTTCACTCACAGATCTACTGCTTCAGCTTTTAATTTCTTTTCATCTTATTTTTAGAATCTATATGCATTCAATAGAAAGATAAGAAAAGAATGTGGAGCATGAATGTACTTTCAGTGGAGATATACCAGAGGTGTGGTAGTGTTTGTGTTTGTTTGGAGACAACAAAAGAAATCTTTGTTTGAAGTCCAATATATAAGAAAGATTTATTTTAATCATTATTTGAAATTACATATTCATGACATACACTGTGATCATTTATATTTCCTCAAACAACAAAGATTTGATCAGTCTCCATACTAATTTCCAAAAAGGCTAGCTGCCACTCCAAGCACAATGTAGGAAGATCCTCTTTCCTCATAGCCTTGCCCGCATTTGTTCTTGTTTGATGTCTGAATCGAGAGAATATACAAACAACTCTGGCTGGAGTGAGATGGAATTTTTTGTGTGGTTTTGCTTTGCATTTCCTTTATGGCTAAGAATGTTGACTATTTTCCCATATATCAAATTAGCCATTTGTATTTCTTTCTGTGAGAACTATCTGTCCAGTTTGCCTGTGCATTTGTCCATAAGACTGCTGTTTGATTTGGTTTTCAATTTCTCTGGATATTCTGAAAATTCATCCTTTATTTGCTGAGTAGCTAGTGACAGTTTTCTCCCTTTTATGAAGTATCTCTTTTATTCTGGTGATTGTTTCACACATCTGAAATATATACAATAAATATCATTATATTTATAATATGTGTATGTATGTATGTTTGATGGCACATTGTATGATGTTGACCCTATTGTCTGGAGTAATGGTGATTGGGGAAATTCACCTGACTCCTCTTGTCCAGAGATCTCTAATGGGTTTTGGTCAGATGGTTGTAACAGGAATGACCTCAGTTTTAGCCCTGTAAAGGCCTAGCTGAAGCCACAGGACCTTAGGCTCCATCCCAGAATAGCCCACCACTCCAGGTGCACAGACTCTCCCTTCAGATGTGTATTTCTTGGGCTTACAGTTACTCCCAGGACCTGGGTCACATACGAGATCTTTCTTTAGGCTGGGTTAATCTTTTATTGTACAAATACATTTAGGCATTTGTTCATCTAGGTTACATACATTAAGTGTGTATCACACAGATACACATCTTTAATTTCTCATCTTTTTATTCATAAGGATTCAGTAATATAAAATAAACCAAATGGGAAAAAGGAAAGAACAATATAAACCAAGAGAAAACCTCTCATTGCACAAATATGAAAGGTTGCTACTTGACTTCCTCATCTTAGGAATAATTTATTATCTAATTCCCTTTTCATTTTCATTTTTCTGCAATGGCTAGAAGCTTTCAATTAAATAGCATTATATGATAATCAACATTTCAGGGAAATTTTGCAGATCAAATAATAACAAATGATGCTTGGAATTCATTTAGATATGTTTCTTCTCTAAAGAGTCAAGCAAAGATATTAATTATCTTTACTGCATTTCCCATTTGCACTCAAACAATTATTCATGGCAATGAGATAAGAATACGTTTTAAGTATGAAAAAATAATAGAAAACATAATCAAATATTTTATGTTGGTGTCATTGCCATTTAAATTTCCTAATATAGTTATATGCAAAATTATTGGCAATCACCTTGGAATTTTGTATCTAATTTATCAGTTATGAAGCACATTTAAAACTGTAAGCATATTTCTTTTTTTGCATTTTATTTTGTACACTTTGTGAAACTGCTGAAATGAGAAGAAATCTGATGTGCAGATAAAATATTTTTATCCAACTTAAAGATGAGGTTAGGATACAAAAAATCTGATTTCATTCTAAGCTTGTACAAGAATTTTTTTTAATATATAGTATCATTCATCTGGATAACTTCTTGCTCACACTGCCTTTTAACTATAATCCTCCTACTGTTTTTAAAATTTTTTATTTATTTATTTATTTTTATTGTGAAAATACTGTACAGAGGAGTTACAATTACATGGGCAAGATAATGAGTACATTTCTTATCAAGCATTGTTGCCTCCTCCTTTGTTTCCCCTTCCAATCCTCCTGCCCCCCCCCAATCCTCTCCGCTCGCCCCCGCTTTCCCCCACAAAAGTTGTGGAGTTCGTTTTCGACATAACAACTTGTACATCTCATTGTTGCAGTGGGTCCACCTGTATCTCTATTTAAACGATTTATTTTTCTCCTTCCCCTCCACAAATTATACCGACATCAAATACAGTGAAAGCAGGGGTTATACTGTGGGGGAGGGACATACAAAGCAACAAAGAAATAATCTTATAAATGTGTTAGAAACAATCACATGAAAGAAAAAAACATTTGAATACATATCTTAAGGTTCAGTTCCCTGACATCACCTTATCTGACCTTTTCTGCGTGACTCAGACATATACTAGATATTGCAAATAAGGGAAACCATGGACCTATGTTTCTTTGGGCCTGGCTTACTTCACTTAATATAATTTTTTCCAAGCCTTTCCATTTCCTAACAAATGGGGCAATGTCATTCTTTCTGATGGAGGCATAGAATCCCATTGTGTATATATACCATATTTTCTTGATCCATTCATCTACTGAGGGGCATCTGGGTTGGTTCCATATCTTAGCTATGGTAAATAATGCTGCAATAAACATTGTTGTGCTGGTAACTTTAGTATGGTCTTGCCCAAAAGTGGGATTGCTGGGTCATAGGGGAGCTCTACGTGGAGTCTTTTGAGGAACCTCCATACTGCTTTCCAAAGTGGTTGAACAAGTTTACACTCCCATCAACAATGCAGTAGGGTTCCCTTCTGTCCACATCCCCTCCAGCATCTGTTATTAGAATTCTTGATTTTAGCCATTCTAACTGGAGTGAGGTGGTATCTCAATGTTGTTTTGATTTGCATAATCCTCCTACTTTTTGTCTCCCAAATAGGTGAGAGCTACTGTGCCCAACACCCTTCCTGCTTGTGAAAGATACATCTGGGCTGGTCCTCTTCATTATCTCCTCAGCTGAGGGTAATATCCAGGATCCTCAGATTTATTCCTGACTCTAAAGCTGAAAGCAATTTCCAGTTAAGAAACTCTAGTAATGATGAGGCTCATTTTACTTGTCTCTTTTTTCCTCATTGTTCACTGCCTTTTGCTCTGCAGACTTCACTGTTTTGAAATACCATTTTAAAATACTTTGTCTTATATATTTGTTGTGCATGGATTTGCATACACATTTCCAATCACTTCAATATAGACTATGGAAGAAGTTCTTGTCAATGATTTTAAATGTAAATTTTATAGAGGACATGGCATTGAATCCTATGGCAATTTTCTTCTTGGTTGTAGGGCTTGAACTCAGGGCCTGGGCACTGTCCCTGAGCCTCTTTGTGCTCAAAGCTAGGGTTCTACCACCTGAGCCACAGTGCACTTCTGGTTTTCTGGTGGTTAATTGAGATAAGAGTCTCATGGGGACTTTTCTGCCTGGGCTGGCTTCAAATCCCTACCCTCGGATCTCAGCCTTCTGAGTAGTTAGGATTACAGGCCTGAGCCACTAGTGCCTGAGTAGAAATTTACCTATTTTTGACATTAAAGAAAGAATTACCTTTTAGGGAATTTAAAGATGAAAACTAGCATATTTATTCATGTCTTCATTTTTAATGCTTTTAATTTATTCTTACAGACACATGTTTTTATCATGTGTTATTTCCTGTCAGTCTGGAAGACTTTGACATTTTTATAATGCAGTTCTGCAATAAATTCTCTCAACATTTAATTTACCAAAAGTCTTTGATTTCCTCTTACTTTTGAAAAGAATATTCATTATATTATGGTTCTACTAGCATTTCTTTTAATACCAATCTGAAAATGAGGCAGAAAAGGAGCAAAACATCAAAGAAAATAGAACAGAGATTAAACAAATAGCAACAAGGCAGTATAAAACTCAACCACGTTACTAATTACATGAAATACAAATTCTCACTGGTTCAATTTCAATGCTGAAATTTTCAAATCTTCTTCAGAAGACTGTGCTATCTCGAGAAATCTTCCTACATATGTAAAAAAAAAAAAATAGATTAAAGATGAATGGTGGGGAAGGATATTCCATGGTAAAGTTAATCAAAATCTAGGGTAACTACATCATTACCAGATAAAAGAGATCTTGGAGAAGAATTTCATAGGAATATAAAGGAATCATTTTACAATGATTAATAATAATATGATATGATAAATAATAGTTAAATTTAAGTGAATATCACAATGAAAAACACTTGATCATACACTTAGACAGAGTCACAGAATGAAACAAATGACTCATAAAGATTCCAATACTCCTCTTTCTAAAGTTCTCAGAACAATTAGACACAAAATCAATTAGCATGCAAAGACTTTGAACAGTCCTGAAGGCCAAAGCACCCTAAATGACAATTACCGAGCATTCCCCACTGACAGCAGAATGCAC